GGGGGGCGCTCGGCGTTGGCCGCGGCGTGCGGGGAGCCGGGCCGGGGCAGGCGGCACCGCGCTTCCCCGGAAAGTTTGTGGGTTTTTTTTCCCCAAAGTCACCTTGATTGCGAGAGGTAATTAGATTCGCAGGATGAGCCGCCGTCATGTGTTTAGCGGTGCTGTGTTTCGCAACTTCATTTATATTTTTTATTCGTGTGCGGCTAAATAGGTTTTCTGTGCCAGAACAGTTTGATTTGGCGTTTTGTTTCGTTGGCTGATTTTGTTTTTTTCTGGGTGTGTTGGGGTTTTTTTGTTCTAATTGAGGTAGGCTGAAAATACGTGGTGAAATTTGAGTTGAAAGAAATTTAGAGACGTGTGTCTTTGAGCCAAAGTTGGAGCACCTTATAAAAAAATCTTTTCAGGACCTAGAGCTCTCTACGTCATCGATGCTCACCCCCCGACCATGATTAAAGGTGGAGGTAATCGGAAAAGATTACTTCAACCAGCTGATCCTTTAACAGTGTAACACAGTGATTGACGGGACAAGGGGAAAAGATGGTGCTCCCCTCCGTAGCTCCCCGTTAGGAGTAGCTCTGAGCGCTTTGGGATGTGTCACGCTTTTATTACATTTTATTATTGACACTTAAAAAAAAAAAGCCTATTCTTTTGGCTACAAAACAGCTGTGGCAGCAGAAAGCAGTGCTGGAAATGCTTTTGTGTAAAAATGTGGATGGTCTGAAAGGAAAGCCAATTTTCTGGCGTTTCAAGGAATGCTATTGTACTTGACAAGAGGACAAGGAGGCGCACACGAAACCGAACTGAATGGATAAGGCAATTACAATATTAGAGGTCACAGGGAAAGTGAGGACTACTGTTGTAGGGGCTTGTTCCTGTCATATTTAATGTTTGTTTAGCAGCCATCCTGTTCTCATTTGAACTTGCCTTTCATCAAGCACAGAAACAGATGTGTATGGATCTGTTATTTCATAGAGTCTTCCCTTAAGCCAGTGTATTATCTTATCCTCAGTAGTTGCCACATATTGCAGCTTCGCTTGTTTCTTGTGAGGCTATCCCATGGTCTAAAATACCCTGTTGTTCAGAAAGCTTTCACAAATGATCTCTTTCCCAATCTGCACTTTGCTATTCTTGAGTTTAGCATCATATATCCCATGAGTTCTCCGTTATGAGTGCATGCACACTGCAGGTGCTTCTGCATCTTCTAAATCATTATTTAAGCCAGCAACCAACTTTTATTTCTCTTCATCTGAGCTACTTCCAGTATATTAGCATCATTATGGTAATGGGAGCTCAGAAATTAATTTCTGAAGGAGTCGCACCAGACCTGTATTATGATTTGTCACTTCCCAGCTCAGTGAAATATTTCTGCATATGGATCAAACCACACATTCTACAAACGCTTACTTGATTGCAATCAGATGAACTACCCAGATGGTTCAAGAAATGTATGTATTTTGGTGGCGTAAAGACAAAGTCTCAAAGCTCTGCCGTTTCTTTTTTTTGATCCTGTATCTTTGTTTTAATTTTTTGTCAGATTTCCTGCTCAGTTTCAGTTTATGGTTTTATCCAGTGATACAAGGGCAATTGTTCTGCTGTTTTTCTCCCTCCCCTCTGTTACTTGGCTGGATTTCTTCTGACTTTAACCTGGAGTTTCTTAATTACATGTCCTCCTGCTCAGAATCACTCTGTGATATGCTGTTTTAGGTGGTATGATAAGGCATGTGAGACCAGTGATGCGTCAGGCACGGTGGGCACTGTGTCTAGCCAGGTCTAGCTCAGCTGAAGCTTTCTGTCTTCCTCAGCCTGTCCTGCCTCCTCATCACTGTTCCAGCCGGAGGATGCTTTTTTCTCAAGCCTGCCCGGACTGCCACTCATATGATCATTCCTTAACTCATTTCTCTCAAAATGACCCTGCTTATTTTAAGCAGTTTAAGGTGCAATTCCATGGCAGTTTCAGATGATCTAAATCCCGACTTCCCCCACCCCCTCTTCCCATTCTCAGCTCCGTGTTCCCATTGCTTTTCCTGTGCTGGCATTTTGCTGTGTCTCACACAGGGCATTGCCAGCAAGGCTGCTTTTGGCTGTACAGGTGAGGATACAATAACCGAGTGAGTCGGTTTCAGGATTGAGTACCTGTGTTGGAAGGGCGGTGAGAAACAGAGGTAATGCGGTCCCTTCTGTTTGTGCTGTTTCTTTCAGGAGCTTCAGAGGACTTGCTGTTTGCATTTTTTTTCAGTGTTGCAATTTGTACTAATTGCACTTCTTTATACGGACTCCATTGTTTGTTCCTGTAAGAAATTACCCTGTCACCTACCCACTGAACTAGCAATATACTGAACTAGCTGTAATTATCAAATTGATAAAGATACATATGATACTTAAAACAATAATGCAATAGCCTTTGAGTAGTCCACAAACTAGTGACAAAGCAAACGTCACGTAGTCTAATTTTAGACATGACACAGTGAGTCTTCTGTTCATTAGCCTTTGTTTATTGTCTTATAACCAGCTTTAACATGATGGATTTTAAAGAATGAGCTCCGGATTTTGGTTTCTAAGCCATGAATGATAACCCCCTGGTTTATTAGGGATGGATTTTTCAACTGCTGTAGTTGTAAAATCCTTGGTATTCCATTTTAGATGTAAGGCAAGTCTTCAGGGGATATATTGACTGTAAGACATTCAGGGTCCCCAGCCAAGAGTTTGCTCTCTAGGTTATTTCCAGCATGACTTGAGACACAGAAGAGAACTGCCTGGAGCTGGGGAGAGAGGCAGGGTGGGAGGAAGGAAGCTTACATCAAATAAGATTAAATTTGCTTGGGTTTCCCTGGTATGGTTTATGTCAATTCTTGAGGTTTTTTGTTTGATTGGTTGCTTGGGGGGTTTTGTTTGGTTGGTTGGGTTTTTTTATTAATTAATTAGAACATAGTAGATTTGTCTGGAATATTGGGTCTTACACCAAAATTAA